GGACTAAAAGTAATGTTACCAAAAAACCAAGAAGAAAAGAAGGAGTTGTTTTTCATCGGCAGTGTGCCCCCACGAAGACATCACTCAAATCACATCCTTTTAATCACTTAGGTGAGAGATCCTCTCTCATTGGAGAAAATCAGTGGGTTTTCCCAAATTCTCCTGGTTAACTTATCAATGGATTTCTCCTCACAATCTAATTAACATAAGCATTAAAAACTGAAGTCTATATTCAACAATAGCACTGTTTTAAAAGTTACAACTACTTTTTTTTTAAAGGTTGGCACCTGAGCTAACATCCATTGCCAATCTTTTTTTTTTCTTTTTCTTCCTTTTCTCTGCAAAGCCCCCCAGTACACAGTTGTATATTCTAGCTGTAGGTCCTTCTGGGTCTGCTAAGTGGGATGCTGCCTCAGCATGGCTTGATGAGCTGTGCTAGGTCCACGCCCAGGATCCAAACTGGTGAAACCCTGGGCCACTAAAGTGGAGTGCGTGAACTTAACCACTTGGCCATGGGGCCCGCTGGGTTTTAAAACTTAAATGAAGAATAAACTCAAGTATAAAAGCCCAAAAAAACCCATGAAGTCTAATAATTCTTAATCACAAAATGCATATTGGCTATCTTAGTTTTCTCTTTCACATAAAAAAAAAAAAAATACATCTAGGGGCCCACCTGGTGGTGCAGCAGTTAAGTTCGCACATTCTGCTTCGGCGGTCCAGGGTTCGCTGGTTCGGATCCCGGGTGCAGACATGGCACTGCTTGGCAAGCCATGCTGTAGTAAACATCCCACGTATAAAGTAGAGGAAGATAGGCATGGATGTTAGCTCAGGGCCAGTCTTCCTCAGCAAAAAGAGGAGGATTGGTAGCAGATGTTAGCTCAGGGCTAATCTTCCTCAAAAAAAAAAAAAAACCATCTAAAGTTTCATGATTAAAAGTAGCATGCTAATTTTTAACGCTATCTCAGTGCTGTTCTTGGAGGCATAGAATTTTCCAGGTGGAATAGGTAGTAACGGTGGCAGACTAATCACTCTACTTTTGAAGGTCTCTGCTGTATTTTTGCAGCTAGTAATATACAAAGAAAACACTATTTCTCAGAAGCTAGAATTCCTATTTTTAAAATTATCAAACCAATCTACGTTACTTACTAAGTTTATCTGGGACTTAAGAGTTTTACATTTTGAAGATCTTATCCTGAGTCTTTTAGATTAAAAAAATAACCAGCCAATCGTCAGTAAGAGAAATATTACTTTTCACACGATGGAAACACTGTAATATCTGGCTAGTCTCTATTTTCTGGTCTGATAAATACTAGATGAAATTAATGCATGCCCTTGCAAACTATAGCATGTGAAATTACTCTTAAGAACCTGTGGCTGTGTGGTTAACGTTCTGCGTTCTCCGCTTTGCAGGCCTGGGGTCTGGATCCCGGGTGTGGACCTACTCTGCTCATCAGCCACACTGTGGAGGCATCCCACATACAAAAAACAGAGGAAGATTGGCACAGATATTAGCTCAAGACTAATCTTTCTCACAAAAAAAAGCAGCAGCAAAAGAGTTTAACTTTCAGTTATTTCCTTGGATCAGCTGCCTCCTCCAGTTGCTAACACCATCCTCCAGGTTAGAGATTTATAGTGGTCTCCAATTTTTTTTAAATTGAGAACGCCATACAAATAACCCATACTTGTGTGTAATTTTTTTTTGTTTTTGGTGAGGAAGATTGCCCCTGAGCTAACATCTGTGCCATTCTTCCTCTATTTTGTATGTGGGTCACTGCCACAGTATGGCCACCAATGAGTGGTGTAGGTCCATGCCCAGGAACTGAACTGGGGAACCAAACCTGGGCTGCCCAAGCAGAGCACGCCAAACTTAACCACTAGGTCATGGGGCTGGTCGCCTATTTGTAAATTTTATAATGTGCTACTGTACTGACATATATTCATTCTGAATCTCAAAATCAAAGTAAACAAGACGGGATGTAAAAACATACACAGAAGTTCTAGTCTCTTCCTGTACACCTGCTGGGTTGGGGCATCCTACCTTGGAAGCCATGCTGTGAGGTGACGTCGTCTGACTCAAAGAATTTCCCTTGGTTATTAATTCTGCTTTAAAAAACAAAAGAAGGTTTGAAGAACTTTTTCTTAAATATCCCCTTCCTTCAGGCAGAACACAATCTTTGTCCTTGAGTCCTTGACTCTATACCTTTTCCGTTCTGGCCCATCTCAGATACTAAGAGACTAGGGAAAAAGTAGCTTAACACAAAGGTCAGCAAACTTTTTTGGTAAAGAGTCAGAGAGTAAATATTCTAGGCTTTGAGGATCATCTCACTGTCGTATCTACTCAGCTCTGCCCTTGCAGTGCAAAAGCAGTCAGACAGTATGTAAATGAATGAATGTGGCTGTGTCAACAAATCCTTACTTATGGACCCTGTAATTTGAATTTTACACAATTTTCAGGTGTCACAAAATACTCTTTTTCTTTTTCTCCCCCAACCATGTGAAACTGTAAAAGGCATTCTTAGCTTGCAGGCATACAAAAACAGGTGGCAACTTAAACTATAAAACTTCTAGAAGAAAACAGGAAAAACATCATGATGTTGAACTTGGCAACATTTTCTTGGATATGACACCAAAAGCATAGGCAACAAAAGCAGGAACAGACAAATGGGACTGGATCAAACTCAAGAACTTTTGTGCATCAAGGACACAATCAACAGAGCAAGAAGGCAGCCTATGGAAAGGAAGAAAATATTTGTAAATCATGTATCTGTTAAGGGGTTAATATCCAGAATATATAAAGAATCCTACAACTTAACAAAAAAATCAAATAACCCAATCAAAAAGTGGGCAAAGGACTTGAATGGACATTTCTCCAAAGATGATATACAAAGGGCAACAAGTATACAAAAAAGATGTTCAATGCCCCTAATCAGCAGAGAAATACAAGTCAAAACCACAATGAAATATCACCTCACCCCCATTAGGATGGCTACTATAAAAAAACCCAAAAAACAGATAATAACAGGTGTTGGCGAGGATGTGGAGATATTGCAACACTTGTGCACTGTTGGTGGGATAGTAAAACGATGCAGCCACTATGGAAACAGTGTGGAGGTTCCTCAAAAAATCAGAATCACCATAAGACCCAGTAGTCCCACTCCCGGGTATATATCCAAAAGAATTGAAAGCAGTCTTGAACAAATATTGGCCCCCTCGTGTTCCTAGCAGCACTGTTCACAGTAGCTAAGAGGTGGAAGCAACCCAAATGTCCACTGATGGATGAACGGGTAAATAAAATGTGGTCAATACATACAATGGAATATTATTCAGCCTTCAAAAAGGAAGGAAATCCTGTCCCATGCTATGACATGGATGAACCTTCAGGACATTATGCTAAGTGAAAGAAGCCAGTCACAAAAAGACAAATACTGGATGATTCCATTTATATGAGGTATTTAAATAGTCAAATCCACATAAACAGAAAGTCGAATGGCAGTTACCAGGGCCTTGGGGTTGGGGGAAAACGGAAGCATTGTTTCACGGCATAGAGTTTCAGATTTGAAAGATGACAAACTTCTAGAGCTCTGTCTCCCAACAATGTGAATATTCTTAACATTACCGAACTGCACGCCTGAAATTGACCTTAACTATTTCTGTGTTCTGAGTTTTTTTACCCCAATAAAAAAAAGAGAAAAAGTACTGCTCTAATATGAACGTTGAAGACTTTGTATTCTGAAAAATAAATAGTCTGAATCAAACAAGACAGCCAGGTGGTAGGCCAGATTTGGTCCTCAGGCTGACTTTTGCTGACCCTTGACCTAAGGCAATACAACTCCCCCTGTTATCAGCAGCCTATCTTCACATATTTTCCCCCAAAATCTTTTTTATAGAGTCATCGAATGTTAGAACTGCAAGTGGCCATACAGACTGAGAGTCACTTTGGAGGGGAGGTGTGGGGGGGTCTGCGGAGGTTGGATGGGTATTTTTCAAGGTCAGAGAGGTGGTTAATGGCAGAGCACTGATTAGAATTTAGCTGCCCGAGATCCTTCTTATTGCTATTTGGAGTTATCTATACATTTTTCACGATCGCAAACACAATCTTTGATTTGGCTGGGGGTGAACACAGTGCTTAACTGAATTCCAGCGGTGTTGCTAGAAACACGCACCGAATTAAAGTCCTGGAGTCCTGCACACCTTTAGGCCTGGAGCTGGAGAAGAAAGGACAGGCCTGACGGCAGAACTCTCTTCAAAGATCAGAGTCATTATGCTAAAATGGTTCTATATGTGATTTCCCAGAAGTAATTTAAGTAGAATCTAACATCTTGTGAAGTCATAAGATAATCCTATTTAATATTAGTCTCCGGAAAAGGTACATTGGCTACCAGCCACTTTTAGGAAACTGGGTAAATTTGCCCTTCTTCTTTACACCATTGATTAACGTTTAAAAATTAAGTAGTGTTGGGGCCGGCCCGGTGGTGCAGCAGTTAAGCATGAACATTCTGCTTCGGTGGCCCAGGGTTCACTGGTTCGAGTCCCAGGTGGGACATGGCACCACTTGTCAAGCCATGCTGTGGCAGGCGTCCCACATATAAAGTAGAGGAAGATGGGAACGGATGTTAGCTCAGGGCCAGTATTCCTCAGCAAAACGAGGAGGATTGGCAGCAGATATTAGCTCAGGGCTAGTCTTCCTCAAAAAAAAAATTTAAGTAATGTTAAAACAATCAACTCAGTAAATTTTAAAGATCTCATTTCGTTTATTCAACATTTCATGAACGGGCAGCATCCCATCTAGCAGACAGAAAGGAGCTCTGAGGAGCTGTACAAAATGAGACTTATAGACAGAAAGGAGCAGAACAAGGAAATTATACCAGCAAAAAAGCAGATGGGTTGCGGCAATGTCACTTTCCTCTAGTTTAAGGTTCCACTTCTGGGAGAGGCCACAAGTGTAATTAAGCTCTTGGTTTGTTGACATGGGCATCAGCGTAAGTGATTCCATTTTGGGTCTGTTTTCTTCTTTTAAACAGTAACAATTCCGAAGACAAATACTTATCATTATGTGCTGAGTGCCTGACTTTCTAGGGGTGGCATAAGAGGGAAGGACAAATGAAACCCAGTTCAGCAGGTCAGGATCTAAAATTAAACCACCAGTAAAATGCAGAGGGGGCAAGGTTTATTTTGCTCTGTGCCTTGAAGCAGCACAAGCTAGAGGTTTTGCTTGGAGTGTTGTAAACTTATACTGAGCAGCTGCTTTTCACTGTTTAGAAAAAAACCAACCATCAAGCTTTAGAAGTCGGGTTGAGCAGAGGTTACAACACAACCCATAAAGTTTATGTAGTATTCCAGGAGTTAAGAAAGCATAAACCATTACTATTTAATTAATACAGCTTCAATTATAATCTCAATGTTGTGTTAAGAGACTATGCATTCCTCCCAGACTTTCCTGCAGAGGTGTGCTCATCTAAAGCACTTGCCCTCAATGAAACACACCCTGTGAACTTGTCTCTTCATTACATCTCTATGTGTAGCGAAGTTAGCAAGTGAACATTTCAAATTGCATCTTACTTAAACATAGTGAGCAAATGCAATACATGAGGCTGGACGGTATCTTAGTTGAGAAAAAAAGGTTATAAAAGATATTTTGAGGACAATCAAACTTGAAGATGGACTGAATATTAAATGGTATTGAGGGATTTTCTTAGGTAATTGTATTGTCCTTCTGAAGCAAATGTCCTCATTCTTAAAAAAAAGGAAGCTGAAGTACCGTCCTGCTTTAGTCAAGGAGAAACATTCTGAGAAATGAGACAGGCGATTTCGTCACTAGGCGAATATCATTGAGGACTTACGCAAACTTAGAGGGGATAACCTACTACACACCTAGCTGGATGGTACTAATCTCATGGGACCACCTGGTATATGCGTCCGTCGTTAATCGAAACGTCGGTATGCGACGCACGACTGCATTTAGGGGTATTTTGATGTATGCAACTTATTCAAACGGTCTAGCAAAAAGGCATACCTGTTTTCTGTATATTTGAACATCTTCATAATAGAGAATTGGGGTGAGGGGAACAAAGGGCATCTTTTTAAAGTTCCCTTAGCCAAGAGCCCTGTGCAGAACTGAGCAGTAACTTAAATTTTACCCTTTGGGTTTGTAGCGCTGTTTATTCTCTTCGTTGCACCCCAGGTACCACTCAGCGAGGCAGTCTCGGCCCCACCCAGGTCAAGCAGCTGTTAATCACCCTTAAGTCAATAAGGTTCCGCAACAATCCAGCCTGAAGGGGTAAAGTCCACACCCGACATAATCTTCTTTACATTCCTACAGTACACACGGCACGTTCACTTTCAAACTGCAGAATAGTTTGATTTGCATTTTCTAGCAGTCGTATCCGCGTTTGGGGCCTGTGTGTGTGTTTTCCCAATGTATCCCCCCACGCCGGTCCCAGAGGACGTTTCTGGCTCATGGACACATCCGAGGACTCTTACAGAGAACTCTTTTTGCCCAACCACTCATTGTTGAATTCTATTTCGATCTGTCTATGCTTAAATTACTTCTTGAAACAGCTAAATGCATCCTGCAGTTTAAAAAGAAAATCTGGGAGAAACTCAGCATCACAATTTTATGCTCTTAAGTCATCATGCTGAGATTCAAAAGGAAACAAATTTCGATGAGGATTCTGTGTACCAGGAGGCTGTGACAGCATCTTAAGAGGTCATAAGCCCACTGTGGCAAGGCAGTGCCTTCGTTAATATTCACTACCTACTGCACACAGTTGGAATTCCAGTTCGGATGCTTGGCCCCCGGGCTCAGGGAGCCCTAGGTGGTGAGCATGCTGCCGCCAGCACTTGTCTGCGGCGACTGCGCGGGCCCCGGGAGCCCAGATCCCATTCAGCCGTGGCAATTATGGCTGGTGTGCGGGAATGCGTTCCTGTCCTCTGAAGGCCGCCTTCTGGCTGGAAACAGGGTAACCCAGGTGACTTCAGAAGGGCTCCTGCAGAGGGTGCAAGAGGCGCGGGCCCGGCGGGGGCTAAGGGCTGGCCCGCGGCGCCTCCTTGACCAACATGGCTCGGCGAGGGGGCCGCGGGGGTGGCCATCTTGGCCGAGGCCGGAGCGGCGGCCGGAGCGGAGCTGACGCTGGTGGGGCCGCCACATTCGAAGGTCACAATGGAGGAGGGGTCGGGCGACAGGCAGCAACCCTAGCCGCGGCCTGCGGGCGCCTGAGGGGCTGCGATCGGCGGCGGCTCGCCCCGAGGATGGTCAGGCGGCGAGCGCTGGAGCGCTGCCTGCAGCTGCTGGCGCCCTCGGCCAAGCCGGCGCGGCGGGCCCGGGCGCGGAGGAACCCGGGCGCCGGCCGCCGCGGCCCCTCCCGCTGTGCGGGGGCGCTGGGCCCTGCAGCCGAGGAGCAGCGGCAGCGGCGCGCATCCGCCCGCCCCCCGCGCCAGGTCAGCCCGCGCGCCCACCCCGCCCCCGCGCCAGGTCAGCCCGCGCGCCCGCACCCCAGGTTAGCCAGCGTGCGCCCACCCCGGCCCCTACCTCGGCCCCCGCGCCAGTCAGCCCGCGCCCCGACCCAAGGTTAGCCTGCGCGCCCATCCCGCACCCCCGCGCCGGGTCAGCCCGCACGCCCATCCAGTCCCCCGCGCCGGGTTAGCCCGCACGCCCACCCCACCCCCGACGCCGGATCAGCCCGCACGCCCACCCCGCCCTCGGGCTGGGTTACCTCGCGCGCCCACCCGCCCTCGCGCTGGGTTAGCCCGCGCGCCCACCTTGCCCCCAATCCCGACCCACACGCCGGGTTAGCCCGCGCCCGCCCCCGCCCCCAACCCCAAGCCCAGGTCCGCCCGTGCGCCCACCCCGCCCCCGCGCCCGCTCAGCCCGCGCTTCCCCCGCCCGCCGGCCGCGGTGCCCTTCCCCGGCTCCGCTGGCTTCCTCCTCCGCTCGGGAGCCGTCCGCAGGCCGCGGCCCGGGCCGTGTGGAGTCCGCGGCGACGCGCAGCGGGCTGTGGGCGGCATTCCCGGTCGCGCGCCTGCCTCCTCCTGGAGAGGCTGCGCTCGTGAGTGGCAGGGGTTCGTCTGACTCGCCGCCGGTCGCGAGGCGCGGAGCCCGCATCTCCGAGGCCGCCTGGGTGAGGAGCCGTGTCACTTGCTTCCCCTGGGAGAGCAGCCGTCTCGGGTTTATCTTACCTCCCGTCCTCTCTGCAGACCACCAGGCTGCGTCTCCACTGAGCGCAGTACGTGTGGGTGCATCTTCTTCTGGTTGTGTGTGAATGAACGGCTCCCTTAGAGCAACTTATTTCTGCTTCATCTAGAGGGTTTATCTTCTAAAAATTCCTTTCAACAGGTTTCTTCCCCCCTTTTACCTGGAGAGTTAAGCCCCGAGTGGAACTGGAAAGCAACAGAGTGGAGCAAGGTGGGGTGGGGGTCGTGGAGCCGCTGCTTTCTTGAGTCTTGTGGGGGTTTGTTTCTTAAATTGGGTGTTATTGCAGGCTTTTCAAGACAGGTGTTTAGATAGGTGTCTTCCCCCTCGTATAGAACTCCTTATGGTCCTGGTGGTTGAGATAACTACGCTTCCGGGGGCTCCAGAGTCTGATGCATCTCTTCTCAATTGAACTTGGAAAATACGGAGAACGAGAAAAGTTAACCTTTAAGAAGTTGTTTAGTTCTTCTCTCTGCTTTTACTGCAGGTTGTTCTCTGCGTGTTATAATATGATGCACCTGGTTTGCTTTGGCTTAGCATGAAGTGTTTGCTATTTGATAGTTATGGTTAATTTAGTGAAAAGGTTATACCTGAGATACAGCTTTCTGAAAATTAAGAGGTAATTTCCGTCTTTGTTAAAAATGGATCTCTAGTGGTTCGATTTCTACTTTCAGTTACACTGGTTTTTAGTCTCAGACGTCGATATACCTTAGGAAGAAGTTATGTAATCTTAAAACGTTACCGATATCCCACAATAGTCTGATTTTATTGCAAGAAAATAGGTCTGTTGGAGAAGAAATTTAGGGCAAGTGTGCTTGTTTAAAATAATAATTTAAGAGAGAGTGACTTCAGTTAAAAATGTTTTAAGTCAACTGAAAATAGTCACGATTTTCAAAGATTTTTTCATTACATTCTGCAGGCTTTCCTGCTGTGAGAATTTCTGCAAGTCTCTAAGAGGAAATTGCTTTGTGTATTTCTCATACCCTTTTTCACTTACAATTCTAAAGTGTACAAATTTCATATTGCAAAATTTAATTTTTCAACTAGCCCAGTTATAAGCGTGTGAAGATATTTCACTGGAAGCATTCCATCCGAGGGTTTGGGTGGTGCTTTAGTTGACACACTCATGGTCATGTGTTTGTTTGAAAAGAATATTATGTTACTTTGGGTATTTGTGAGTTTGGGTAATGGAGGAGATTTTTAAGAACCTGTTGTCTGTGTTTGGAAAAGTACTATTTGCATTGAATTTAGTTGTTTCGTTCTGCTTTTTCTTTGTAGGGGTAGATAGCTGTGGATATAGTGGGTTTTTCCATTCCGTTCTACTCTTTTTATGTAAATAAGAACATGGCTGTAGCTGGACGGCTGTCTTGATCTGGGCCTTTTAGATGGAAATGCATACAAGTTAAGAAGTGTTTTCATTGAAGTGTTATTGGGGAAGTGAACTGTGCACATAATTTATGGTTAATGAGCACCTTTATCCTGAAGGCATGTCAGGGCTTGTGTGAAATTGGCATTGAAAAAAACACCCCTGTGATTTCCAGTATAAGGTTAAAGTAATATACCATTCTAACTGCTGTAACGCTGAAGACTTCTCCCTATCTATAATTTATAGTGCCTTCCTCTACTCGTCTTTTGAATTTAATCACCGTTTATTGTGTGTTTAAATATTTTATTAACAGATTTTTGCGTCAGATTATGTATGAAGTCATATATCCCCAGGGTCGGTTTTGTTAGGTCAGAGGTATGGAGTCTTTTCCCGACTCAGCTGCTTAAATAATGTATTATAACTTTATAATTTACAAAGCTCTTTCAGGTTTTTTTTTTATGTATTGCTGGTTTGATTTTATAGACATAAAATATGTGAGGTTATTAACCCCATTCCACGGATGAGGAAAACAGGAGGCAGAGCCTGGTAGATTTTAGTGATGTGCCTGGGGTCCCGCAGCACGGCTGCCCTGGCCCTGCGCAGAATTTACATGCTGCTCCCTCTTCTTAGAAAACGGTACCAGTGAAGCCATGGTAGAGTGGTGTGGATCGGCAAGCCGTGGTCAGCATCACAGCCATAAATTGCACCCCTAAAGCTGTTGGTTGTGAATGGTCAGTACCACGGGTGATGGAGGCACAGACAGGGCTGGCACATCGATGGATCAGCATAACTTCAAAAGCATGATTGAAAAACAACTCGGTGTGCACCTGCTACCTGGAACGGTTCCTCTTTCCCCTTGATGGCAGCAGATTTTCATGTTTATCTAGTTTGGGGGCCTTCCCTGATGAAGGGACAGTAACATACTGATGGGACAGTAAATGCCTGTCGACTTCTGTGCTCTTTTGTAATCTCTCTCAGTTATGAGAGTAAAGAAACACCAACTGCCTTCCTTGTTCCTGGTGCTCCTTAAACTGGGCAGATGCTGGTGATGTTGGTACCACTAGCAGCCGACAGCAGTAATTTGTTTTCAAAGTTGCTTTCTCTATTTGAGGGTCCTTCAAACCACAAAGTTGTTTGTTCTCTTTTCAAGTTACTGTGTTCATTCCTTTGGCTTGTTTAGGGAGTTCTTGAAAAGAAGTACTATATATATGTTCAGAGTATCGTGCTATTGTATGGCTGAAGTAATTAATGACAGCTTAAAGAGTTTCTAGACTCAAAGTCCTTTTTAAATTTCTTGTTATATATATATTTTTCATTGCAGCAACATTGGTTTATAACGCTATATAAATTTCAGGTGTGCATCATTACATTTCAGTTTCTGTGTGGATTACATCATGTTCACTACCCAAAGACTAAGTACCATCCATCGCCACACATGTGCCTAATCACCCCTTTCACCCTCCTCCTTCCCCTCTGGTAACCACCAATCTAATGTCTGTCTCTCTGTGATTGTTGTTGTTTCAAAGTCCTTTTTTTAAACTTGAGGCCAATTTAACTGTTTAGGAACTAAACTAAGTAAAATACCCCACGTGAAGTGAAATGTGTCATTTATCTTCCCATGCTGACCTTCTGCACTTTTGGTTCTGAGTGTTTCTAAGCGTAATTAAGGTTAACCATCCAGGCTCCATAACCAGCCAGAGCTGGACCCTTGGAATGTCATGGAAGCCTGGGCTGACTTCCTTCGCCTGTAAAGGGGTCACACAGTGGTGACTTGAGTCATGGAGTGTTCAAGTTGGAGAGGACCTTAGCAGGCACCCTGTCCAACCTCTTCAACTTCCGGATTTCCTGTTTCTACTCTTGCAAGAGTTTTAGCCTGTCATGATACCACAAAACCGAAACATCAAAATTAGACTTTTCTGCCATTTCACAGACAAAAGATACTTTAAAATTCTTGGATGAAAGTTGATTCCTTTCTCATTCTTTCCTGATACAGTGTCTCAATTTTATATATAGACGAAATGTTCATTGTGCATAATGTGTGCGTGCTGTTCGGAGCCCATTTTTAACCTGGGTGAATGAATGCTGTGCGCGTATTGAATATCATCACAATGAAGAATTGGACTTAAACTTTGATGTTATTGGCAGCATTCTCTTGGATAAGCATGATTATGAGAGCTTTATAATTTCTTTTTGCTTAGGTGCCCCAATAGCTTAAAATCATACTTTATAATACTGCTCATCTCCAATTTAGTATAAACTGCCCCCATTTTAATGAAGCTGTAGCTGTGCATTTCTATGGTACCTTGAGGCTGTAGAGTGATTACCATCCAGGTTTCCTTGGGACTGAGGGGGTCCCAGGGTGCTGGCCTTTGCTGAAGCTGGGGAAGGCCCTGGCACACTAGATGCTTTGGTCC